ACCAATCATGTTCACCTCTGTGAGTATTGTGGTGTTTTCCCTTCTCACTGACTGAAAAATAATACAAGTGGTCCAAACTCCTGGAAGACATCATTACACATCCGTGGGAATATTGTCACATAATTCCAAGCTCACTTTCATTTATTGAAATAATATACAGCATCATTTTTTTTCAGAAAATTATAAAAGAAGATCTAAAATATCACCATTTAGTGAAAACTCTCACTTGACATTTACAATGAATTATTTTACAAACTCGATTTTTGAAAATTATGAAATTATAAAATTTTACTACCGATCGCATTTATATTTATTTTTGCGTTCCTCTGAGACTGAACTGAGGGAGTGTGGGTGTGGCTATTTATGTTGTCAACACTGTTGTTATAGAACATTGCTAAACATTGGACAGGACACAACTGACTAGGTTCCGTGAATTTAACTATTATATGATTTTGTATCAAACATCTGAACATATCACATTATCAATATTATTCCATCTTATGGACATTATATTTTAAGGAAAGTATTGCAACAATCACATCAACCGTCTTACTCAGTGTTTTGTGATGTTGCAGGTGTTGTTGCTGTGCCTGTTGGTGACCGCGGGTGTGGCTCTCCCAGGCGGCTACAATGTGCGTCCTTAGATAATATTTACTTTTAGCCATATCATCATGTCATATCTCAGTGATGTATATATTTAAGACGAAATAAGTATGATAAATATTAATATATAGTGTGATACATCATTGATGTGTTCACAGGTTCCTCTCCCTTACAACTACAACTACGGGATCAACGCAGGATCCACCAACTTCGGTCAACAAGAGAGCGGTAACGGTGGCAACGTGAAGGGTTCATACTTTGTCCACCTCCCAGACGGTCGCGTCCAGAAGGTTGATTACTGGGCTGACGGTAGCGGATACCATGCTACCGTGACCTTCCAGGGCACCGCCAGTCATCCCAGCTACGGCCCCTCCCATGGTTACTAGCTGCTTCTCACTCAACACCACCTATCATAATTTACATGCAGTAAATTATTAGTCAAGTAGTTTATAGACTTTAAATAACTATGATTCAATATGTTCCTCAGTTTTACTTCCTGAGTAATAAAACATTGAGGAGTTTATGTGATGTTGAACAAAACTTTAACTCCATCGTGAACGAGTCTCCCAGGTTGATGTTGTCAGATCCTTATAATCCAGCACTGTGCCTCCCAGGGTCGCCACATCCCAGTCTCCAATGTACACAACATCCGACTCTAGTTTTGTGGCAAATGTTTTCATTACCATCTGTTCCTCCTTGATGTTGTAACTTTGTCAAACGGATGATACAATAAATAACTAAAAACAATTATAGTCTTATATTATTTATCGTTTTTAGAACTATTAAGGGAGTAACCAACTAAATAGAGTTATGTTGGTAACAGTGATAATAAGTAAAAAATATGAGTATTATTTTAAGTAGAACAATCCAGAACGAAAAAAAATCATTTTCTCAATAATAGCTGTAAAACCTATCTCACTTTACTCTAAAACTGAACTTCACAATAAATTAGTTGATTCAGAGCTGCCAGTCACGATGCTAAGTTACAAGAACATCAAATTAAAAAATAGAATTAAAAAAACCCAAAAAGAAACGATCTTCTAACTTTGATCATCGTTTAATGAAAACAAAAAAAACGTTCAGAAGAAAAGAAAGAAACTGAAATAAGAGTAATGAGGGAAAAATGTCAATGAACAAAAATAATTATATCAAAACTTTTACAAATAATATACTGTATATATGTTAATGTAACTACACTTTGGAATGAATAATAAAAACATTTGTTCCACACAGAAGACAGAGACAGAACAACAAAAACTAAAGTGATTTTTTTATATTGAACAACAGGATGGAATAATGATTACAAAAGAGGTCTTACTGTTAAAATTGATACAACACCTATGAAGCTGTGTACAGTTGCAGACAAAATTCCCTGAGCACCTGGCAGTATCTGGAGAAACGTTAAGTGAGGGGATTGATATTTCGATGCATTTATCAGAATTTTTCTTTTGTCATTTATCGTCCACTCATTTGTAACCTCGTTCCTCCAAAGTTCCCTTTGTTTTATCCACTCCAGCATGTTTTTGGTTTGTTTTTTAATATAAAATAGTTTTCTTGTTCTTGTTCGTCAAAGTCACCTTCAGCTGTACTAAAAATCTGTTTTTATTTTCAAATTCACATTCTATCCCAGCCCTTATTATTATTAGCTTCCCTGAATCCCATTTGATTTTTTCCATTTTTTATTTTTATTTTTTTCTTCAAGTTTTAGCCTCACTGCCTCACTAAACCATGAGTGGGATGTGGTTTGTCTCACAACATGCCCGTGGATAGGTTTTGGTTCGGATCACTGAATTTCTGAGTCTTTGCAGAAATTAAATGTATTATATTTTTTTGGGACAATCTTATTTATATTGTTATGAGTTGGAGATTTGGAAACTGGTTTAGAATATAGTTAAAAGTCTACCCAGATCCCAACAGGCGACAACAATAAAAAACTAAACAAACAAAGACAATCTGACTATAAAAGGGTAGACAAAGGATGCGAGTTTTTGTTGTGTATAATAAAGTACAATAAATTCCTTAACAAAATATCCAGCTTACTATAATTTACCCTTAACCAAACTAAACTTAAACATACGCAACATTGGCTTAACAGTATATACATATTTATACAACATACAACAATCTGAAGCAAGTGGAGGTGGGAGGCAATATAGGTTTACAATATTCAAGTGCAGTGCTGAAGCGTCTGACGAGTAGGGCTGAGTATTGAAGAAGATGTTAGGTAGTCACTGTGCCGTAGGTTTCCAGGATAGGTAATCCAAGTGTGGTCACTTCCCAGAGTGAACTGAACTCTCCTCGATCTGGAGCTCATGAGGAAGAGTTGGAGGAGGTGACGCAACAACCAGGATATAGAGAAAGGAAACCCTGAGTGGTGACTAAGACTAGTCATACTCGGGTTTCGTCCCAAGATGGCGTTGCTCGGTAGTGCTGGGTAGTTAGATCATGACACACTAGATGGCATGGTTCGTAATAATATTGTCCTGGGGTGAGATCCATGAATAATGATGCCTATGGGGAGTTGTTCAAACGATCTATTTGCAATTGTCATCTTGTTTTCTTTACAAAGGTCAATTAATTTTTCTCTTCTCTCATTTCTATTAACCAGCCCATGTGGTTCTACTTCTAGTGGAACTTTTCCTTTCCCAGCTTATGCATTAAAAATCAATATAATCAGACATTAATTAAACTTTAAGGTGTTTTTACTTTCTTTAAGACTTCATAATTTTTCCTAAGACTTCAGCCTCGCTATCATTTGTTGGTACATAAACCTGTATTGTTACCGAGTCTATGGGTTTAGCGTTAAACTTGTCTAAGAGAACTCTCCCTGACACTGTCCAATATCCTTTTACACTACAGGTCAACTTCTGGTTCATAACATTACCAGCTCCTACCTCATGCCTTTCACCGCTCATATATATGAAGTAAAAATTTTGAACCAGTCCATCTTACTTCACTTAATCTTAGAATGTCCCACTCCAATTTTCCTACAAACACTTGCATACTTACCAGTTGCCAACCTCATATTATGCCCTAACATCGCATGTTCTCATATGTATTTTGTGCTTGTTTATTCCTACTTTTTCCATAGTCGTATTTAGTGTACTGTCCAAGACTTTGTTTTGCTCAGACAGTTCTTGTTTAACGTTGCGACACACTGCCCGTAAGCACGGAAGTCTATGCGGTTGGACCTTTAGGTGACGATGATCCATCAGGAACACCCGAAAATCGTTTATTGTGTCTGTCCATGTTTATTGAAGGGAAAGAGATGAAGTTAATGAGAATAAGCGCCCAAATGTTATTCTCATTAGAAGACTAATTATAGGGAGTAGAAAAGGTTGGGAAAGAACACTGGGGTATAAAGGTTGCTCATACCTCACTCTAGTAAAGAACCATCCTAACGCCTCTTGAAAATGTGAATTTGCGTGTTCAGAGACGATACACGTTCAACCTCCTCATGTGAGGTTAAGAAATGGGAACTTTATACCCAACACAAGTATTTGAAACTGATTCTTTTAAGACCCCACACCACACGACAAGATAATGCAAATTCGGTCACTAGATGGAGTTGTACCTTGTGGGGATGTAGAAGTGTTGAGAGATATTAAATATTTAATTGGGGGACAGTATATATTTTAAAAACTCATTTGTAAATTATCTTAATTTTTCTGAGGAATTCCTGATGTTTACATCAAACACGACAGCGTTACAAACACAGACATAAGACCAGAATCATGCAAGCAGAAGGTAAAGATTAATACAAAATTTCCTACAAATTTGAGTAATGTTCAATAAGTTAACAAGTACGGGGTTTGTAGAGGTCAATAAGCATTACTGTAGGAAGTCATGATATTCACGTATTTCGAACGAGGGTGAGCATGTGATAACCACTTACACTAAATCAACACAAGAATCACAGTGGGCGGGAGTGTCTTTGAAAAGTCTACCCGGATCCATTCTCGGAACACGGTTACAGTATCACATTCCGTACCACCTGACTGTCTCAGTAAATGATTTCATGTCGCTTTTGTGTCTGAGATTCTTCCAATTAAACCAGCTAATCTTCACAAAAAAATTAATTATCTTTTGCACCTTAGATTCACCTTATTCAAATCTATCATCTCACAATTACAAACCAATACTGGAAAAAAGGCCATTCAATAACCTTCCTCCGTATATCACCATCCACGATTGCCATTCTATATTGTACTATATGACGGAAGAGACAGAATGTGTATGAATTGAGTCTCAGATGTTACACTGAGTTGCATCACAAACAGCATGAGTTCATCCAAGGGAGACAAAACTTGCAAGGCCGCGGGGGCCGCCGCCTTGGTTAAGTGTGTTGGCAGAAAGTTCTGGCTGGAGGTATAAAGCGAGCCTGGAGGTCAGGGAAGAGCCAGTGCCTGCTATCACCCTAAGTTCCCACTACCAATCATGTTCACCTCTGTGAGTATTGTGGTGTTTTCCCTTCTCACTAACTGAAAAATAATACAAGTGGTCCAAACTCCTGGAAAACATCATTGCACATCCGTGGGAATTTTGTCACATAATTCCAAGCTCACTTTTATTTATTGAAATAATATACAACATTATTATTTTCAGAAAATTATAAAAGAAGATCTAAAATATCACCATTTAGTGAAAACTCTCACTTGACATTTACAATGCATTATTTTACAAACGCGATTTTTGAAAATTATGAAATTATAAAATTTTACTACCGATCGCATTTATATTTACTTTTGCGTTCCTCTGAGACTGAACTGAGGGAGTGTGGGTGTGGCCATTTATGTTGTCAACACTGTTGTTATAGAACATTGCTAAACATTGGACAGGACACAACTCACTAGGTGCCGTGAATTTAACTATTATATAATTTTGTATCACACATCTGAACATATCACATTATCAATATTATTCCATCTTCTCGCCATTTATTTTAAGGAAAGTATTGCAACAATCACATTAACCGTCTTACTCAGTGTTTTGTGATGTTGCAGGTGTTGTTGCTGTGCCTGTTGGTGACCGCGGGTGTGGCTCTCCCAGGCGGCTACAATGTGCGTCCTTAGATATTATTTACTTTTAGCCATATCATCATGTCATATCTCAGTGATGTATATATTTAAGACGAAATAAGTATGATAAATATTAATATATAGTGTGATACATCATTGATGTGTTCACAGGTTCCTCTCCCTTACAACTACAACTACGGGATCAACGCAGGATCCACCAACTTCGGTCAACAAGAGAGCGGTAACGGTGGCAACGTCAAGGGTTCATACTTCGTCCACCTCCCAGACGGTCGTGTCCAGAAGGTTGATTACTGGGCTGACGGTAGCGGATACCATGCTACCGTGACCTTCCAGGGCACCGCCAGTCATCCCAGCTACGGCCCTTCACATGGTTACTAGCTGCTCTCCTCAACACAACTAGTCAACTAGATTATAGCCTTTTAATGACCATGATATAATAGCTTCCTCTGTTTTACTTCCTGAGTTATAAAACATTGTGTAGTTTGGTTCTGACTAAATCATAACTCCATCATAGAAGAGTCTCCGAAGGATGATGTTGTCACATGGTGAGTGTCCAACACTGTCTCCCAGATTTGCTACATTTTTCTCTCTATAACATCCAACTTCGGTCCTGGACCTGGACCTTGTTCTGTATACTGTATTATACAGCAGCTCCTTAGTTGAATAAAAAGTAAAACAAAATTGTTTTATCGTGTTTTTTTTAATATCTGCTACGAATTCGATTTGTTATTCAATGAAACAAAACTTGAAAACTTGAAGAACTGGGAATAACAATTTGAAATATTTTGAGGTAGATGTTAATATATGGAGAGAATGAATGAAATTATAAAATGGTTATATATCTGCTGCTACGAGATGTGGGTCTCTAGTTCAAAAGAAGTTCAAGAATTATTCTTTGAAAATTGAAAGTGCAAAGACTGGTTTGAAAACGATAAAAGATATATATCCATTACTACGTTCCGAGCGTCTAGTATGGGATGTTGGATGTTGGTGGCTCAGCGGTAGCGTGCTTGCCTCTTACTTTTTAGTCCCGGGTGTGATCTCCGGGTGGCAATGTGACCAAGGAGGCTTTATGAGAGGAGACGGTGATTGCTTGCGGGGAGTGGTTAGCCGTGTCAGGAAGGGCAAACTTTGACGGCCAAGGATTATACAATATATACCTAACCCGAACTAAACCTGGCAATTTTGTTAGGAAGTCAATAAGCTTCCTACATTCTCTACACATGCATGAACTCTCTCAGCTTACCTCGAAGTAAAACATTGTTAATACTCTTAATATCTAGCCGCCCTCTTATTATTAGGGATAATAAAGACATGGAGAAATATATAGTTGTCAACTTACAGAAAACGTTTAAAAGAAACATGAATGACAAATAAAAAAGTAAGAACAAAGATGAAATCCACGCATGCCACACACACACACACACACACACACACACACGTGGTCTCTTGATCATGGAGACAGCTGCCAGCGCGGTCTGTCGGGCCCTCCCCTCCCCCATCTCCTCCTGCCCATCTGCATTTATCAACAACCTCACACCAACAGTACAGTGCAAATATTGACGATCAACCCACAAGTGATATACAAAAGTGGGAATTTCAACTCGAAGGAAAAGCACAAAAACACAGCAATACTGAGTGTGGCTGGATCTGACCTAACCTGTCCTGGCGGCTTTACCTGACCTAACCTGAAGGATGAAGCACACCTGCATTGCCCCAAGCTACTATCAGAGGTCTTATTGCAACTATATCTTGCGCTAGTCAGGCCGCACCTCGATTATGCGGTTCAGTTCTGGTGCCCTTATTATAGAATGGATATCAATTCACTAGAGTCGGTGCAGCGAAGGATGAAGAAAATGATTCCGGGACTTAGAAACCTTCAATATCAAGATAGGTTAAAGAAACTAAACTTGCATTCCCTAGAAAGACGAAGAGTGCGGGGAGATATGATAGAAGTATTTAAGTGGGTGAAAGGAATCAATAAAGGGGATATAGATAAAGTTCTTATAATATCCAAGCAGGATGGGACTCGTAGCAACGGATTTAAGCTGGATAAGTTTAGGTTTAGGTGGGAGATAGGAAGGAACTGGTTCACAAATAGGGTAGTGGACGAGTGGAACAGACTTAGCAACTTTGTAGTAAGTGCTGGAACGCTGGAAAGTTTCAAAAGGAGGCCATGCTCTTTCAATAAAGCGTTAATTATTTTTATATACACACACACACACACACACACACACACACACCGTACCGTCTCTACATGCTACGAAGACTTAGGTCACTTGGGACACCAACGACAGAGCTGAGGACCATCTACAACGCCTTTATTCTCCCCAAACTAACATATGCGTCACCAGCCTGGTCGTCTTCTCTCAACGCCACCCAACAACGTCAGGTAGAGAAGGTACAGAAAAGGGCCTGCAGAATCATGCTCGGCGCAGAATACTCCGGCTACACCAACGCTCTCTCCACCCTGGAAATGCCATCCCTCTGTGACCTCCACCACCAAGCACTGGAAAGGTTTGGCCGTGGACTACTGCACCACCCTCGCCATCGCCACCTCCTGCCACCTGCAGCCCCCCACCCAACTCGCGCACACACACACACACACACCCTTCATCATTATGAAACAATAATTTTAGAAGTACAGCTAATCTCTACGCCTTCTCATCCAAAGCTTCCTTCCGTGGCATACCTACAATTCCCGCATCAAAGTTTTTTTTTTTAATTAAACTCCATTTACCTGTGGTGTCCTGAGTCTGTTCTAAGGGTCACTGGTTTGCATCTGGGGCACTGTTAATTCATCTCTTATTAATTACGTAAATACCTTTATAACTGAGGAGGCGAGAGCGCAAGTACAGTGCCGACCATACATCACTATCATACTAATGATGTTAAAGTCTTATAATCTCTGGGATTCACCTTTTCTGCTAAAGGAGCCATATAAAGCACTGATCGCGTTCGGACATATTTTGGCTTGGGACAACGACCGTTTCATAAACGCTAGAATCTCAACTATTTTTACATAATATTCTGTCATTTATACTGTCACCTGTATCCTCTGTCACTCCCTCCGTCACCTAACTAATGGTGTCCAATTTCACTCACGAGTATCCTCAACTACACCTTCACCTAAGCTACCCATGTCCTCAGTGACTCACCTAAATATTACCGATCCTAGGAACTTATTGTCTCCTAGATACTAGTGTCTTCTATCACTCATTCCATCTCTTGACCGAAAGTTCCCTACCCAGTCCAAATATTCATCTTGGCATAAATAATCTTTACTAACTTATTCTGAACAACTGGACTCCTAAAACATTTTATAACTTACATTACCGACTTTTTTTCAACCACTAATAACGATCAGTACAGTACATCCACTCTCGCCTGTGTTAGACAACATAATACTCAATTGTGAAGGTTTTTGTGTTTCCTTAAGATATTAATACATTGACACACTTAAGATTTGTATTAATATATGGGACTTATAAAACAGAAGAACATCAATGAATACATTTCTGTTGAATAAAATGTATTGAGGTTTTGTTAAGAAATAAAGCATAATAAAAGTTATTTGACAACAATTATTTAACAGTGAAATTAAATAAGAAAATGGCAGATTTTACGTCATATCATAAATGTAAAGATACTGAAGCTTAGAAGTGTTTAAATATATCACAGTTCACTTGCTGTGTGATTATTTATTTTATAAAGACGTATATTAAACACTGAATATGTTTTGTATGCTTTAAAATAAATATAGTACAATTTCCAATTAATGTGTTTTGAGATAAACACAGATATGTATATTACATTTTCCTTAACTAAATGTTGGGAAAAGGGCAAAATAATCTACTGCTATCTTTAAGAATGTTTCTGGTTGACTAAACAAAATCACTGATTAGTCACTGCATGACCTTGTATGATTGACAATAGAAAATGAGCGGTGGTGACTGGAAGTACGAGTGGCTGCAGCTATAAAGCCAGGCTGTAGTTAGGGAGGAGCCAGTTCCTGCTAACACCACAATGCCGAACATGTTCACCTCTGTGAGTGTTGCTGATACTTTCCATAATTAGTTAATAACTTTATGTTTTTTTGTAATTTATCGAATATAAAGTAAACAGAGAAATTAGTGATGACCATGTTGATGTTTTATGTAATATACAGTTAAGAACATAAGAATGGAGGAAACTGCAGCGGGCCTATTGGCCCATACTGGGGAATCCATTTACACCCAACCCCTATCATTCATATTATCCATCCAACCTAAGTTTGAAGCTTATCCAGCGTATTCGAGTTTGTGATGAGGTTTGATAAATTGTTCCACTAATCCACTACTCTATTTCCAAACCAGTGTTTTCCTATCTCACGTCTAAATCTAAATTTGTCTAATTTAAAAGCATTGCTACCAGTTCGCTCCTGGTTGGATAGTTTGAGTACCTTTGTTATATCATCTTTGTTCAGCCCTGACTACCATTTATACAGCTCGATCATATTGCCCCTCACTCTACAGTACGTCTCTCCAAGGCGTGCAAATTATAAGTGTGTATGTGTGTGTAGAGAGAGAGAAAGAGAAGCATACCAAATATCACTAACATGCAGAAAGTGTCACGGTAAATTGGAAACCAAAGCAGTTACACTTATGAAAATAATGTCAAGAGACTTTCATAAAATTCAAATATCAGCCAATAAATTGTTGCCAAGGAGAGTCTTTTGTTAAGTTTTGATAGCTTCAGTTAGTCCATTTTCTGTAAACATCCCCTTCATGCACCCAGTAAGTTCATCTGTATATTTCTTGCAATACGTTAAGAAGTTTTAATGATGAAGCATTTTTCGAATTTTTAATGGTAATATTTAGGATTGAGGAAAACCTTAGAATCGGGACAATATTCTTTACCTGAAGGGCTGTGTTTGATCTTGTAAGAGCCACAACAAGTAAATATTGATCATATTAAGGTCAAGGTTAAACCAAATTTGATATAGAATTTATGAAGTCATCAAACAGCATTTTTCAGAACTGATGGTTCAGCTATATTGTTCACAGTTTACATATAATTTCGATCAAATCACCAAATCTAAATAATGGAAGATAAATTCATGAGAAGACAAAAAAATCACAACAATATCGGCGATATAAATCATTGCAAATTTTGTCACAACACAGCACACACATAGAGTATCTTCCTTCAAACCTTAATAATCTAGAATAAACCTCGTGACATCTTATTAGATTTAATCGTTACAATATTCTTGTAGGTGGCTTTGATGTGCATGCTGGTGGCTGCAGGTGTGGCTCTCCCAGGTGGCTACCAATCACCCTCATACAACGTACGTCCTCCTATACTGTCTTTCTCAGTGATATAAGGTAGATATTTTGTTGTCTTTATCTTATAATAATTAACATGATTATATCTAATTTTCAATACTGTACAGTAAATATTCCCCGTGGTGTGTGGACAGGTGCCCACCCCCTACACCTTCAACTATGGAGTCACCGCCGGCAACAACAACTTCGGCCAACGCGAGAGTGGTGACGGACGCAACGTCAGGGGCAAGTACTATGTGCACCTTCCCGACGGCCGAGTACAGACGGTGGGTTACTGGGCTGACGGCAGCGGCTTCCACTCTACTGTGAACTACCAGGGCACCGCTAGTCATCCCGGCAGTGGTTATGGCTACCACTAACACCAACCCACGCCAAGCCAGCTCCTCCTGGATTTACCCACGATCACCAAACTTTAAACAACGTCTTTTTTTTTTATTCACTGGATACACAGATTTTAATTGATCTTTGTGGATCAAACATTTTACCAAGCAAGGTTGACCAGACCAGACTAGCCAATGAGTTTTTCCACATCATGTTGCACCAGGTCTTGACTCTGTATATTAACATGATGTTAATAAACGTATAATCAATTTATGATGTCCTTTATTGCATACATAATATTACAAATGTTTGGCATCTTTTCTCAGCTGATGAGTTGTGAAGGATGATAATTTTTCTCTTTAGTTGCTTCTAGTTTCATTGAGCGAGTCAAAATTTTGAATTAATAAAAGTTCCCTGTGTGTATGTCTGGAGAGAATTTTGTAGACAAATTGTAAATTCCCTTTTAGTGATAAGATAAAAAGAATCAATATTTGCTGGATAATTCATTATATGTAAATGCGCAAAGAAAGTTTTATGCATTTTCAATTAATTGTAAAAGAAGTATATAATGTATTCAAAATAATAATGATATTAATCAAAATCATCCAAAATATTCAATAATTAAGACAATAAGACTCAAGGCTCCTTATTTGTTAATAAGGGAAGAATTAATTCTAAAATTCTGTACTATTTTGAAGACATATGTTTTGTGTAATATACATTTAAATTATCTTTCAGGCAAATGGTTCTTCTAAAGTGCAAGAGGTCAGTGTGTGTCAAATATCACTAAAATCAATACCATTTTACAGCCTTTTTCAGGTTTGCATAGATTAGCTGTGGTTACTTGATGACAGCTTTTCATGCTGCACGGTCTCTTTCGGCTTTTCTTGTCAGGTTTTTATCTGTGAGGTAATTTGTGACAACCTCTCCTCTTGTGATGCGGGGCCTGCCTCTAGCTTTACTCTCCTTCACAGTCAAACTCATGCATTTCATATCACATTATGCCCCTTAATTCCCTCCACATGCCTAATTCTTCTTCACATACCTGTTACCTTCCGATTACCTGCTGTAATCACTGATGAAGAGTCTGTAGAATCAGTATTAAAGGTTCACTGGAAGTAACTTTCATAACTGTTTATAGGTTAAGTTTTTAAACCCAAATGATCTTTTCTCCATTTATTAAGAAAATAAACTATTGCACAATAACTAGGGTATCACCGTAATTAACGCTATGAGCTGTGAGCGGTAATAATGGACGAAGCTTATGTGCAACACACGTCTTCTGTGGCTGAGAGACGAGGTACAGACTGCCAGAAACCGGCTACTAACTGCTGACTCCCGCAGTCAAACACTGTCACATGTACAGTTGATGACTACTCACGGCTCATAGGCTAGTTACCGTGGGTGATGTAATTATATAAACATAATGTATGTCGCATATAAGTATTACTGTCTCTTTCACAGGGCTAATACATGCCTCTTTATAAAACCTAGCCAGTTCTCTTAATACGCAGCCGAGGCTTTTAGCTGGGTACAGGGAGATTTTTTTTTATATTGATATTGATATTGACACAGTTTATTTAGCCAAAAAATACAGATACAGTAGCTAATATTATCAATATTGTCATGGCTGAGCCAATTGAGAGCCAGAGCTCTCCTAGTGGCACCTGATATATACTGTACATTTATCTCAAGGAAGTATTATGTAACATTTAGTATCATCTGGAATAGTACAATAGCATGGTGGTAATAAGAACATGTTACCACGGTTATCACATCATTAATTGTGATTTTTTTTTTCATTTATATTATAAGCATATACTCGGACATATTTTACAGGGTTGATTTGCATTAATATGAAAAGTGAGGGAAGCAATACATAATTATTGCAATGGTAATTTCTATCTATCCTCGTGACAATATATGATATAATGGTTTTGGTGGTACAATAAAAGTAAGAGTATAAAGTAAATATTACAAAAATATTAATACATAGACAATAGATATTTTTTAAGAGATGATTTAAAGGAAGGGACCGTTTTCTTTGCTCGGATGGGTGGGGGTAAGTTGGTCCACATCTTCACACCTTGATATTTTATGGAGGTCTGGGACTGAGAGGAGAGCATGGGGGTGGTCTTAGTAGCTCTGATTATTCTGGGACTGGAAATAATTATTGTCAATCAAATGATTCACAGATTTATAGACAAATAGGGCACATAAGTAAGTGTTAATATCCTCGAATTTTTTAATTTTCAATTTAGCAAATTGTTCGTTAGTGTAGGTATTTTTCAAGTAGATCATTGTCCACAACTCTCTTCTGTGCAGTGACCAGAGGTTGTATTTTTGTGGAACCAGAGGCCCCCCATAGTGTGTGACAGTGTACCAAGTGTTGGTAAACAAGATCATAATGGATTTCTTTCATTGATGCAAGAGTGAGTGGCTGGCGAGTGTGGTACAGTCTCACCCAAAAGTTTGTTAACTCTCCCAGCCAGCTATTGCTGCACTGCCTGCTTCAGATGTTTGAAACCAGAACATGAAACTGATACGAATGAATCTGAAGGTTCGAAGTAACAGACTCAAGTTCATACATCTGAAGCAGGCAATGCAGCAATAGCTGGCTGGGAGGGTTAACCAACTTTTGGGTGGTGTTGTACAGGATACCGCACTGTTTATTGACTTTACTGTGAATGGCTTGTATGTGTTTTCTCCAGTTTAGTTTATCTTCAACACTAACCACAAGGAATTTAGTTTTTTGCTCACATTTGAGGACTGTATTACCACAGTACAGGGGGTCCAACTATGGGGGATAAGTTTTCCTTCTGTGAAAGATTGTGTAGTGAGTTTATTTGAGTTTAAGGTCAGTTTGTTACATATTACGCAGGTCCGGACTAGTCAATTCAGTGTTCATAGTTCTCATCAAGGAATAGAGATCTGAGTTGCTGGCATAGAAATTACTATCCTCTGCAAATAAGTTGTATTTTATGAGTGTGCTGGAGTGGACTATATCATTTATGTACAACAAGAACAGTACAAGGCCGAGAATGGAGCCTGGTTTAACGAGTGATGATGTGAAGAAATATACAGCTAGTTATCTTGCAGTAAAAGTAAAATTGGAATATATACCAAGAAATAACACACACATACACACACATATTCGCCGTTCTAAAAATTACTGGTTTGAACCGGGGTACATTCAGGCCAACCAGCTGCAATTAGGTACCTTTACTGTATATCTGGGTTAGGTAGAACGCAAGAGTACAGTGGCAGCCATACTTTTTCCCATCAAAGGGGCACATATGGTAGCAATTAGGATTGGACATAATTTATTTATTTATTTATTTACTCATTTATTTATGATCAACGACCTCTTTATAAATGGTCCAATATCTACTAATTTTGCAGATGATTTTGTTAATTATTCTGTCATTCCTTCACTCACTCGTGTCTTCAATCACATCTTCATCAAAACTATCTACCCATGTCCCCAGTCATTCATACCTCCACCGAGCTACTAGACTCGTAACTAGAGTCCTCAGTAACGCAAACTCTCTTTTAGTTTATGGTTCCTCTGACGCTCGCTCCATCGTTTACTATAAATCTTCCTCCCTGGTTAGAACCCTTGACGGCAAGTTTTCCAAATCAGTCCAATAAATACAGCATTAGGATACCAAGTAAAATATCCTAATATTCTTCCTGGTATATATCCTCAACAATCAGACTCCTAATAGCATTATAACCTGCAGTGTGGACTTTTATTTGAGCATTATTAAGATCTGTATAGGGCGAGGATATCATTCTGGCATGACTGGCCATTAAGGACAGTGTGGATACAGCACACTGTATACTAAGCCTTCGGTACACAAGGAGGCAGCATGGCCGGTACTGCACCCAACTGCATTCACTTCCCCAAGTTGTAAACTTAGATGTGTTTCGTTAAAAAATATACATCGATATACTTTAAAACAAACTTATATTTTCACACTTAAGATATAAACTTGTGAAACAGAAGAATAGCAGCATTAGTTTGCGTGAGCATGTTGAGAGATGCTCATAGTAAACACGTATCTGTTAAAATATAATATGTGGAGGTTTAATTAAGAAACAAAGCATATTAGAAGTTTGACAACAATTTAACAAGAATCTAAATTTACAAAAAGGTATAACAGAATAAAGTATAAGTGACGTCATACGTAAAGATATTGGCGCTTTTAAGTGTGTAAATAAACAACAGATCACGACCTGCAGGCTTACTCATTTATCTTGAAGGATGTAAAATATTGAGGGTGTTTTGTATGCCTTATAAGGAGTATACAAATATACAGTATATTTTACTAAATCACATTTGTTTTGTTTTTTAGATAAATATATTTTTCTTAACTAAATAAAGCGAAGGAGGTACAGTAATATAATTTACTACTGTTCATAAGAACGTTTCTGATCGACAATACAAAACCACTGACCAACCACTGCCTGACCTTGTCTGAATGAGAATAGAAAATGGAGGGTAGTGGCTAAGGGACCGGCTGGAAGTATAAAGCGAGGCTGTAGGCCAAGGAGAATCCAGTGACTGCTCCCACTCCAAGACAACTCAACCAAACATGTTCACCTCTGTGAGTACTGATGATATTTTCCATAAATAATAACTGCTTGGCGCTTCATGATTCTTAGTTCATAAATCGTAAAGTAAAAAAAAAAATAATATATATATATATATATATATATATATATATATATATATATATATATATATATATATATATATATATATATATATATATTTATATATATATATATATATAAATATAATGTGAGATTTATAAGTGAAAATAAATTGTAATTTAAACGATCACAGATATGAAAGTATTCCAATAGATTCACAAAACTCACATATCAGTCGACATATTGTTGCAAAGGAGAACATGTTGTCAATTTTGGATGACTTGAATTATTCCGTTTAGTGCTACTCTCCCCTATATGCACCCTGTAAGTTCATTTGTATGCAAACTATAATATAGTAAGAAGCTTCGATAATTGTTTATTCAAATTAATAATCGTAATATCTAGAACTGAAGAAAACCTTAGAATCAGGATAATATTCTTCTCCTTTAGTATGGGGTTTGATCTTGCACCAGTGTTCACAATTTACTTATAATATGGATCAAATCACCGAATCTAAGTCACAGAAGAAAACTTTATGAGAAGAGAAGGCAATGCATCGTTGTTTCCAACACACTGTCCAAAACGAACTTTAAACTTAATGATATAGAATGTAATTAATGACGTAATATTAGACCTAACATCTACTATAAGATTATTATATTGCAACAGGTGGCGTTGATGTGTATGCTGGTGGCCGTAGGTGTGGCTCTCCCAGGTGGCTACCAACCCTCATACAACGTACGTCCTCCTACATAGTGTTTAACAGTGAAATAGATTAATGTTTTATCTTATTATATTTCCAACAGTTAAATGGTTTTGTTGTGCGATGATATATAGTTGATCTTCCCCGTGGTGTGTTGACAGGTGCCCACCCCCTACACCTTCAACTATGGGGTCACCGCCGGCAACACCAACTTCGGCCAACACGAGAGTGGTGACGGACGCAACGTCAGGGGCAAGTACTACGTGCACCTTCCCGACGGCCGAGTACAGACAGTGGGTTACCGGGCTGACGGCAGCGGCTTCCATCCCACCGTGAGCTACCAAGGCACCGCTAGTCATCCCGGCCATGGTTATGGCTACCACTAACAACAACCATCGCCGGTTTTCCAGGCTTTACCCACGATGTGTTACCATTAAGCAACACTTTTGAATCACTGGACACACTACTGTTTAGTATTTCCCTTTAATTTTCATGACTATGCTTAAAATTTAGCATTATTACGAATCACTGACAATTTTTGTAAGTAGAGATTGTGGATCAAGTATTTTCCACTCAAGGTTGACCAGGCCAGACGAGCCTTTAAGCTTCACCCCGCCCTGCACTGCCTCACTTTTATTCCCCTGCACCAGGTTTTGTATATAATCATGCTGTTAATAAACGCATAGATCAAACTACGATATGTTTTAATAAGGATATATCCTACAACAGTTTAATATTTTTCTCAGATGATGAGTTTGTTGTGGAAGATATTTTCCTTTTTATTTGTTTCTCGTTTCTATGAGGCAAAATCATGTTTTGATATGTTTAATTGATAAAAGTTTCCTCTGTGCAGATGTATGGAACAAAAAATATTGTCTTTAAAAAATTTGGTGAAGAATTTCCCAATTCGTCATATGATACAGAGAATGAATGATTCTTTGATTATTTATCATATGAAAATGCATGAAGAAGATTTCAAGTATTTTCAAATAATCAAAAATAAGTTTTCTGTACAAAAGTCTTGTTAATCCATAATATTCGATAATGAAGACAAAAATCCTCTGGCTTCCTCATCAGTCTTCCTGGACATAAACCATTGCCAATACTGTTGATACACAACCGTCCTCTTAACTGGCTATTGGGAAATGTATTCGATCGTTTTGAGAAATGATGATTTAAAGAAATATGAGTAATATGAAGTTACGCACACACACACACAGTACAGTAATACAGCCCTGATCTAATATTTCTCATCACAAGCTTCCTCTCATGTCAATAAATAAGCGGGTTATTTTTCGGTAATCTACTTGTCACTAATTACTTTTACAGACCACTACTATTTACCAGTAATCAAGTAAAAATTTACTTATAGCAACTACCTTTTACTCCGTTACTTTTGCAAAGAAGCTTTGCAGGGATCAACTATTTTTTGTGAATTATTTACCTCTGATCCAAACTGTTTGTTCTCCATTTTATTGAAAATAATGGAGAGGTAAAATAATTTACTAGTGGACTGGATATATCACAGTTCGGCGTCAGACCTTCAAGTCCATCTCTCTCTCTATCTACCTATCTTATATATATATATATATATATATATATTTATCTTTGCCAATATTTTTAGAACTAAACACACCTTTGTCTTCAAGCTCTGCATGTGAGCGAATGTTTAGTTATGCAGGACTAAGTTTTACACCCCGTCGTTTACGTATTAGTGACAAGAACTTTTGACAACAATTTTGGGTGAAATTAAACTCCAGCAAATTTTGGGTGCTGACGTTAGTTGTGTAATGTAATATAGCCTACTGAGTGAAGTGCTTCTTTCTTCAACGATGATTTTTCACGTAAAGTTATTTTTTTCCTTGTTTGATACTCAGTATTTTTATGGCATCCCATTATCCTTGTAGACAAAAACATACCTTGGACTAGAAGATGGTAGTTGCGTGGTTCTCAGAAGTACTGTTTAAGAAAAAGTTCTGGGGAATTTTTTTGTTTTGTTTTCTCAGTTGTGTGAGTGAGCTCACAATATGCTCCGTTTGTACCTTTAAGATGCCATTTGAACTTAATGTTCCAATTATCATATCCTTCAACTGTAATATGATTCAAAAAGTGTTATTAGATTGCTAGTTCTTTATATTTGTGTCATTTTGGTGAAAATAAACATTAAAAAAACAATGAATAATAAAATTTCTTTTTTATAGTTTTAATTACTTTTCAGACATCGGTAATATTACTTTTACTTAATTACTAATTTAGACAGATGTAAATGGGTAAATACCTTTACATCTGAGGAAGTGAGAGCGACTGATTACATTGTCGGACATAATTCCACCCTATACTAATGATCTAATGGTCCTGTGGTCTCTGGGGCCCACGTTTGTCTCCAAAGGGCCATATATGCACACAAATGGGTTCCGACATTTTTTGGCAATAGTCAACGACCTCTGTATAAATGCTTCAATAGATGATTTTGTTATTTATACTGTCATCTGTATCCCTTGCCATTCACTCCATCGTCTTACTAGAAGTCTTCCTATCTAGTTAGAACCCATGATAGTATGTTTCCTAACTCAGTCCAATAAACACTTTACCATTAAAATCAAAATCAAATATCCTAATATCCCTCCTGGTATAATATTCATTGTATTATTATATATAGCTTCTTTAAGTATGAAGAGTCCTGGATGTGAATTTACCCTCGATCTTTAATTGGCTATGCAGTGTTAGACGCTTCATTTCAATCGTATATGTTAAATTGCGCTTATGTATCAAATATAAATATAAATATAAATATAAATATATATATATATATATATATATATATATATATATATATATATATATATATATATATATATATTATATATATTTCATGTAAATCCACAATGAAAACGTGGATAAGATAAATCTTGATAAAATCACACGGGAAAATGGAAACAACGGAGTACCTTAGCTTTCGTCTTTATTCAAGACATCATCAGAGGCAACTGAAGATGTCTTGAATAAAGACGAAAGCTAAGGTACTCCGTTGTTTCCATTTTCCCGTGTGATTTTATCAAGATATATATATATATATATATATATATATATATATATATATATATATATATATATATATATATATATATATATATATATATATATATATATATATTACGGGTAATAGCCCACCCGGGTACAGGTCATCGAACCACAGCGGGGCCTGGGGGGCAAAAATAATAAAGTAAAAAGAAATTAAAAACAGAAAAAAAGACTATATTAATCTACACCACGAAGATGTCGTAAAACCAGCTTTTAAAGTGAGACAAATTGTATGAGTATGGAAACACAGAAGAAGGCAGAGCTTTCCACAGTTTGGCTGTGTGAGGAAAGAAGGAGGTACTATAACGGGTTATTCTAGTGTGAGCAACACCCATGCAGGAACGGTGGGCACCGCGGGCAAAACGAGCGTTACGAGCCCACGGCCTTGCCGGCGGTACACAGGATGCCAAATCCACCGAACATTGCGAGTTAAAGTACTCGTAAAGGAGAGAGATTGAAGCAACATTGCCGCGAAGAGAAAGGGAAGAAGGGTTATCAACTAAAGGAGGAGAGTTAATAAGACGAAATGCCTTTGATTCTACCTTATCTAACAGTTGAAGAGCCACCCCAGATATGAGAGCAGTACTCCAAGTTAGAACGAATGAATCCCTTATAAACTTGAAGTAACTGCTCAGGAGTGAACTAGCTACGGCACCTGTACAGCATTCCCAGCTTTAAGGAGGCTGCTTTAGTATTGTTGTGGGTGTGTGGCTTCCATGACATATTAGAGGGAATGGTGAGGCCTAGTGTATTTATTTTAGAATTTGGCAGAATGATAGCATCCTGAAATGTGATTGGTGGGAGATCTTCTATTTTGGAAAGTGTAATTGGTAAATACTGTAATTTATTACTATTGAATTTAACCAAGTTTCTACCTCCTCATTCAGAGATGCTGCACAGATCCGCATTGATAGATGAAATGATATCATTTCTGGAAACAGATCTAGTTTGAGAATTAGGGGAAAGGGAAACATGTGAAGAAGAGTGAAGAGTAGTATTATCAGCGTAAGAATGGATAGAATTAGTCGTAGTTTGAAGTAAATCATTGACAAAAAGAAGGAAGTGGAGTAGGTGAAAGAACAGAACCCTGTGGGACACCATTATTGGTAGAGAAAGAGCGAGAGATCGATCTCTCGACAACAACTGTCATGGATCGGTTTTCAGGGAAGCTTTAAATTGGAAAACAAAGCGTGAGAGAAACCAAAAGAGGGAAGTTTAGAAAGCAAAGACTAATTGTGCCGTACCCTGTCAAATACTTTGGAGATGGCGAGGGCCACGACAAAAGTTACAAAAGTTCCCCCATAATCCCTAAGAGAGGATGACCAAAGATGGGTGCAGTAGGAGAGCAGATCACCAGTAGATCTCGCCTGGCGAAAGCCATACTGGTGATCCGACAAAAGAGAAAGGCGTTCAAGGTGACGGAGAAAATGAGAGTTTATGATCGTTTCGAATCTTTTGGAGAGGGATGAAGTTAGGGCAATGGGGCGATAGTTAGAGGGATTAGAATGGTCACCCTTCTTCGGGATTGGCTGAATAATATAGATATGCTTACTCGCTTAAGATTGCTTCTGAAAAAAATATCAACATCAGTTTTATGTACGTATATTGAGAAATAATAAGAAGTAAACACCTCGTTGTTCCATATGTTGTAGTTTTGCCGAAAACAAAATATGTTGTGAGTCACATCAAGATTAACAAAGAGATTAGAATATGAACATCGCAGGATAAAAGTCACGTTTTGTTGTAATGGCATTGTTGCCTTTAAATATTTAACTAAATTACAATTCACACGCTAAATAAAACTGAAATGCAATAACCTTTCTTCTCGAAATAAAACAAAAGTGGTAATAATATTAAATAATGTTCCTAATAAAGTTTCCTAGTGAAAATAAAACAAATTATCCACGCAAACAAAATTTACCAGTCACCGCATGACAGTGCATGACTGACAACAGATAATGGAGGGTGGTGACTGTGTGTCCGGTGGAAGTATAAAGTGAGGCTGGAGTCCCAAAGAGGAGCCAGTGTCTGTTACCACCTCCACTCTGCATAACCAAACATGTTCACCTCTGTGAGTATTGATCATATTTTTCATAATTCACACTTATCTATGATCTACTTCAAACTTAAATGATACTGAATACAATTCATAAAATCATGTCAGATCTAATATCTACTATAAGATTATAATATTGCAACAGGTGGCGTTGATGTGTATGCTGGTGGCCGTAGGTGTGGCTCTCCCAGGTGGCTACCAACCCTCATACAACGTACGTCCTCCTACATTGTGTTTAACAGTGAGATAGATTAATGTTTTATCTTATTATATTTCCAACAGTTAAATGGTTTTGTTGTACGATGATTTATAGTTGATCTTCCCCGTGGTGTGTTGACAGGTGCCCATTCCTTACACCTTCAACTATGGGGTCACCGCCGGCAACAACAACTTCGGCCAACACGAGAGTGGTGACGGACGCAACGTCAGGGGCAAGTACTATGTGCACCTTCCCGACGGCCGAGTACAGACAGTGGGTTACCGGGCTGACGGCAGCGGCTTCCATCCCACCGTGAGCTACCAAGGCACCGCTAGTCATCCCGGCTATGGTTATGGCTACCACTAACGCTCAAGCACGTCCAGCCAGCACCTCCAGCCTTTACCCACCATCACCAAACATTAAACAATGCTTTCTTTGACTCACTGGATACACTATTATTAGATAATTTATTTTTCCTGACCATGCTTAACGTATACCAGCACACATGAATCATTGAGGGTTTTTAATCATTGTGGGTCAAATATTTTACCAAGCAAGGGTGACCAGGCCAAACGAGTCATTGAGCTTTACCCCGCCCTGCACGGCCTCACTCACGCTCTTTTACACCAGGTTTTGACTGTATATTATCAAGCTGTTAATAAATTTATAGAGCAAACTATGTTTTACTGGATAGTTAATTTTACAGCAGGTTGATAATATTTATCAGCTTATTAATTCATAGAAAATACATTTGTCCTTTTTATCTGCTTTCTATTTCTTTGGGGCAAATGCTGTGGTTTTGATTCTTTGACTAAAATAAATGCTTTTTATCTGTACAATTATAGAAAAGACAAAACAAATTTGTTGACAATTTTTGAAGAAATTAAAATTCCTTAGTATTTTTTGTGTGTACATATAAAAGTGCACGAAGGAAATTTAGAAAATTTTCAGTTAATCTATAAAGAAATGAATAAAGTTTTCAATATCGTAATCTTGTTAATCTAAGGGAACCAACATATTTAATAATGACGATAATAAGACTATAGGTTCCTTGTCTGTTAATGAGGGAAAAGTTAATTATGATATTCTGCAATACAATATTTTATAAAATTGATTTCGGCAAATAATTCTTCTAATATACAAGAAGTTTGATGTGTGTCAAAAGTCATCATCATCGTCATCTGTGTAGATTTGCTGTGATTATCTGATAGCAACTGTCCATGCTGCACAGCCTCTTGCGGACTCTATCGTCACGTTCTTATCTATCAGGTCATTTATTACAACCTCTTTCCAAGTGGTTCATGGTGTACCCATTACCTTTACCCCTTCACATTCAAACTCATGCACATCATAACTAGGGATTCACTGAAGCTATGTTCCGGCCGGTTACTTTCGGCTGGAACCTCATTTTTTTTCGTGGTTCTGGTTCCGGCCAGAACTCTCTAAACTGGTTAATGCTTTGTAACATAAATTAATTTAAACATAATTTATAGTTATATATTTAAAATTACTCGTATATCATGAGAAAGAGATGCATTTAATGGTTAAAGATTATTGCAGTGTGTGTACCCCCCCAAAAATATGATAGAATAAATCGTATTTATTGTCGATGGTAATTGATAATTTGCTGCATTACATTACAATTGAAAAAATAAAAATAAAAAACGTATATTTACAATGCTGAAGATGGGAACAAGAGAAAACACAGGAACTGAGTATGAGATCTCTTCAAACACTGTTACAGAAACAAATTCGCTGCATTATTGCCTAATAATAATTGTTTTCGCCGCTAGCTTCAGCTACAGTGCTGACGTTTGCTGCCTTACCCACACAAACATTAAATCTCTTGGCCTGCGACCACGTACGCCGCGACCTCCGGCGCGACCTGTGACCTCACCAGATATAGAAGTGTTTACAGACAAGTCCAGTCGTGGCGTGACCACCTAAGGGGACAGACGTGCCCATAGGTGCTCTTGACTTCCCGATCGTCCCACAAAGGTCCCCTCAGCCGGCAAGTTTTTGCCAACATGGGGGGTCGACATAAACGTCCCAGAAGAGGCTCTCTCATGGACGCAGACATCTCTGATACGGATGCCATCGCCAACTCACCTGGTCATACTGAATCCAACAGCCTTCTATGGGAAACACAAGCCGGAGTGGAAACACTAATGCCATGGACCCTATCACCCTACCCTCTGCCACCCAGACAAGTAAGCTGAATCTGCACTTCCCCAAGGGGGACTCTCTGAAAACTGTAGAGGAACACTTTAATTGGATGATGAAGTACTGCAGACAGCACGGTCTCAACATTCAATTCCGACAAGGTAAGAACCGGAACTTTATTAAGTGTCAGACTCCTGAGGTCTATGAAACACTTAGTACTGTTGGCTTTGACGGGGTTTTCCCCTCCTCCCTCCCCAGTAGACGCTCATGAATGTTGTCACATCCTAGTGAAACATTTCCACCTATATTCTGACATCGAAGATGCGCGTGACTTTAATTCTAGCATACTCAATATATATCGACATTACCGGGGAAAGACTCTACAAGCTGCTGTCATTGTCAAGTGGAAGGGAAGGGAATACCCAACCACTGCGGAGGCCCACCCACTCCTCCTTCCACTTATGCAGAACCCTATCATCCTGAGTCTGCATTTTATGTTATCTGTTCTCATTGGGGTCACACCTTCACTGCCTGCTGCCGACGTGATCATCCCAGATGTCGCTTCTGTTCATGTAACCATAACTGAGCCGCCTGTGCCCAGAAAATCAAAGACCACCTTAATAGGGGTGGTGTGGGCTATGTAGTTGATCCCAGGTGTTATAACTGTGGCGGCCGGCACAATGCTGACTCACAGCAATGCACCAATCGCCCGTCTGTCCCAGGGAAAAAGCATCCCCGAAGGCCACGTCTACCACAACGTCCCCCCAAAGTCAACCGGTCCGCCTCCTTCTGCGTCCCATCTCTCTCCAACAACGCCTTCTTCAACAACACCTGCCCCTGCCTGGCCTCACCTGACTGCAACACAGCAGTCCCGGCCGTCTCCTAACTCAACTACTACTGTGCCTCCTCCCCATCTCTACTCTGATGTTGTCAGGCCTTGTGCTCCAACCGGTGCCCCCCACAACCCCCCTCTAGTGACATGACACAGATCATATCCCTCTTCCAAGAATTTACCAACCGTTTTTAAAAACTCTTTGTTACACTCTGTACAACCATCACCGACCTACTCTTCTCCTCTGTTGCCACCCAGTCACTCCTCTCTTCTGGTTTGACACAAGCTGGTAGTCACCCTGTGAGCACCCCCCCTGCACACGGCCTACTCCACCGCCGGCGGCCTTCACTACTGGTGTAGCGCCTACCGGGCCTGGCCTGGTATGTCCTGCTGCCACCGAGCGAAGTCCTGCCTCATCTTCACCACACGTGGTACCTCAACCTGTCCACCAACCGAAAGCCGCGCCCGCTACTGTGTCTGTGTTGTCTCCACCAGGGCTACCTAGTGGACCTGAGAACACCACCCCCGGCTACCCGTACCCTACTGGCATGTCGACGCACACGCCATCACAATCACACTAAAAGGTATGTCCCTCTATATTGTTAATGCCAATGTGCCTCCCTCCACCCCTACTGTACCTGTCCCACCACACCATATCTCATCCACCACCACTGTACTTCGCCATGCCTAGTACATTGGCAACCCTGAGCCTGGCTGCACTGCTTGTAAACTTTATGGTCAACCGACTCTCACACCCTCTCTCACTACATCCTCACTTGCCCTATGACCTCCTCCTACAGGTCCCCGGCCGTTACCAACACCTCTTCCCTCCCTGACCAGATATCCCTCGTCCTAGTGACAGGCCTGGCACTTGACATTATTAGGGACCTGCCACACTTTGCCATAAACAGATAAATTGTACCGGAAATTTTCCCCCCACACACTCATCATTCTGTCACTTTATGTAACTTGCAGACAAAACCCATGACCCTTCAGGCTTTTACGCCCTTACTGCATAAGTCATAAAGGCAAGCAAGAACTCCTCATGCTTCCCAGTTGGGCACTGTAAACGCTTCTGCGCTTCACCCTGTACAGGATGTAAGGGGGTGCCCAATAAACTAGCGCCCTCGAGGGTAATCTAAAAAAAAAAAAATCTACAGACAGGTCCTGGTTTTGCTGAGTGGACGGTCTTCGGCTGGTGGCATGGCTGCCTGCCCCTCCATGACGCCAAATTGCCCTCCTCAGTGGTTCTGTGAACACGGCCCCTCTGCTAGCAGTGGTGAACTCCGACTCACAATCCTGTCCGAGTTTTGTGCTGGGACAATTTACTCATTGACCCGCACTTGTAAGTACAGCCTAAGTGATGATATACCCCTCAGTACTGAAATATTGTGGACTAATTATGCCTACTCGTTTCTTCCTTATCTGAAGCAATAAGACAAAGCAGAATGAAGTGTAACTAAGATTAATAGAGTAATGAACTCTGTATTATATCACTATGTTTAATAATGTCTTGTACTAAAGATAAAATAATGTGAGACTAACTAATTATGTATCAGATGGATCACCATGTAATACTAATGAACGTCTGTTCTCTGCAGGTTTTGACTACATCAATAAATATTGAATGCGTCAAAAGGCGGGTTTCAATCATTCCCTTCAACTTGCCCGTCACCTGACCGTCCTTAACTTAGGAGTTAAAACTCATACTGTATGTAAATTAAAGTTTCTATAAAGAGATAATCAAATTACCTTTTTATTTCATATTTTTTTATAATATCCACACGTATATTTGCTCAGTTCCAGAATAGTTAATGGCGGGAGATTGTGATGGAGGAGCGGGAGTAATTCTCCAGTCCGAGGCAAAAGGCGTGCGCGGTTCTCACGTATTGACAGCTTAAAAAAAAAAATGTACCATACAGAGGACATGAAAATCACGCAACTTCGAAATTTTTCGATAAATACATTTTGCATATCTCTAACAATACATAACCAAGACAAACTTACTCTTGAAGGTCACAGTTTGCTCTCCCCCACACAGGCAACCACCTCCCGCATTCACCGTGGTGAAATCTCAGTCGGGAAGATCTGTCCATGGCCCGGACCATCCGGGGGTCCGTGGTAAATGGTAATACCACAGTGCACACCCTTGGGACCTATGCAATATGGGTGTAAAATTTTCAGGTCTCACTGCTTCCGTTTTGGTGCTATGGCTTTAAAAGGCAGACAGACAGACAGACATATTCACGGACAGACACGTCCTTTTATTATTATAAATTTCATTTGCTCAGTTGGTGAGACTTGCTCCACTATTCTGTCGTGTCTTGTTCAGCTTGTACAATCTTCTAGCATATTGTCAGTCCTCCTTTGTCTCATTAGTAGTAGAGGAAATCAAGATGAATTCCGTCTTGTATAGTGCAGCAAGTTTTTGTGCTAGTGACATTTGTTACGTGTTTGATCTTCATCTTCAGTGTCTTCTTCGTTAGCTGCAAACATATTAGGGGACATACTAATACCGCTGCCTTTTTCATCAGTCAGTCCATCAAATCCCTTCCTATACCTTAGTTTTTAATTGTCTTGGATTAAAGGAGTAACCAGGACTTAAGTTTTCTCATTCAGCACATAATTTCACCAGAAGCTGAAAGAAGATGATCTTGTAGAGCATTCCGCAATTTTGTTTTGTAGTTTGGAGTCTCATATAATTTCGAGACGGTGTAGACTGAAGATAATGTTGCCATTCCTATTCCAGCTGTAGACAGTGGTAGAGGAGACCCAAGAAATATACGTGTTGTTATCATCTACATAGATCTAGAGACAGATCAGTACAGAATTGCAGTTAAAGCAGAGATCTTGAGAGGTATATATTCTAGAAACCAATTTTATGTGTACCTTCTGCGCTTATTAATAATTCATGAGGTTTGTTAAGATAAGTCAGTATCGTTACGGTCTACTGTTATTGCCCAGTCCACACCTGGTGGACAATTATTAACTAAATGTAACTGCAAAGGTTCAAAGAAATGTCAGATACCTCGATGCAAAAGCCAAATTTGAGTGTAATTCTAGATGTCATTGCAGCATAAACTGTGCGAATAAATGAGCAATAACTCATTCATATAAACCATTTTAATTCATTTTAATGGCTATGTGTTCATAAATATGCCCATGATTTTCGTGTCAGTAAATACATGTATCCTCCTTAGCATTTTTGGTAATTACCTGAAATTCTTGAGTAAATCAACGATTACGCGCATTTACTGAAAGTTTTGTGTGTACGTGCATTTCCTGATTACGTACATATAGACTTGTGAAACAGAATAATAGGAACATTAGTTTTGCTTGGACATACTAATAAATGAAAGTATTTCTCTTGATTATGTTACGTGGAAGATTTTTTTAAGAGACAAAGCGTGTAAGGAATCACATGACAATAGTTATTTAACAACGAGATTCAATCAGAAAATCGCAGAATATACATCACGTTATTTGTAAAGGCAGTAGTGACTTAAGTAACTAAATCACATTTCACATTCTACAACATTACTCATTTTATCATAAGGGAAATTAGTATTGAGTATATTTTATATGTTTTAATGAAATATATTGCTACATCACATTACTGTTTTAAGATATATACAGATATATTACATTTTCTTAATTATGTAAAGAGGCAATATAATCTACATCTGTTCATATAATGCTTTTGGTTAACAATACAAAACCAGTGATCAATCACTTCATGACCTCGCATGGTTAATAAAGACAATGGCTGGTGATGACTGAGGGTCCGGGTAACTGGAGGTATAAAGCGAGGCTGGAGGCCAGGAAGAAGCCAGTGTCTGCTACCTCTCCAATACTACACTAACAAACATGTTCACCTCTGTGAGTATTGATGATATTTTCCATAATTAATTAATAACTTCTTGTTGCTTCCTGATATTTGTAAAACATCAAATATAAAGTAAAAACAGAAAATAGTGAAGAACGTATTAATGATTTATGTTTTAGTCCATTTAATCTACTACACCCTATAATTAATTTATATGTTAGCTACAGCACAGTAAGCAGCATTAATAATTAACAACAGCAATATTTAGGACTGAAGAGAATCTCACAATCAGGACAATGTTTTTGTCCTCAAGTGTTGGGTTATAAAAGCCACATTAAGTATGCACTTATTAAGGTAAAGATTAGACCAAATTTAATATAAACTTTATGAGGTCATTTTAAGATTCACAGTTTTCATATAATCTGGATCAAATCACCGAACCTAAGTGATGGTAAGTAACTTTGCGAGAAAGATCACGATTAAATGAGTGATATAACGGATTGTAGTTTTTTGTCACTGTACACCGTGTATAACTTGCCTTAAACATGACTTAAGTAGAATGTAAATATTAGATTTAAAATCAGATCTACAATATTGCAACAGGTGGCGTTGATGTGTATGCTGGTGGCCGTAGGTGTGGCTCTCCCAGGTGGCTACCAACCCTCATACAACGTACGTCCTCCTACATTGTGTTTAACAGTGAGATAGATTAATGTTTTATCTTATTATATTTCCAACAGTTAAATGGTTTTGTTGTACGATGATTTATAGTTGATCTTCCCCGTGGTGTGTTGACAGGTGCCCATTCCTTACACCTTCAACTATGGGGTCACCGCCGGCAACAACAACTTCGGCCAACACGAGAGTGGTGACGGACGCAACGTCAGGGGCAAGTACTATGTGCACCTTCCCGACGGCCGAGTACAGACAGTGGGTTACCGGGCTGACGGCAGCGGCTTCCATCCCACCGTGAGCTACCAAGGCACCGCTAGTCATCCCGGCCATGGTTATGGCTACCACTAACAACAACCATCGCCAGGCATTAAGCAACTCTTTTCTTTGGTTCATTGGACACACTCTTGTGAATAATTCACCATCTACTTTTCATGACTGCGTTTACAATATACTGTACCAGTACACACATGACACTTCGTCATAAAACTAAAATGTATTTTGTGGTTCAAGTATGGTTGAACAGGCCAGACGAGCTTCCCCCCCTCCCTGTCTTCCTGTACAGTCACACCCACACCCTCCTGCACCAGGTCTTTACTTTGTATATTATTGTACTTTTAATAAACTTGTGGGACCAAGCTACAATATATTTCAATGACCAAGAATCTTAATTTTATATCTTTTCTCAGTTGATGATATCAAAAGAGAAGATTTTTTCAATGCTAATATGTTCATTCTTTTATGGAATATTTTAAGGTTTAAATGCTTAAATTAATAAAACTTTGCACGGTGTACCAATGTACAGTCAGCAACAGGAATAAATACACACACTGTAGCTAGGGGGCTAGTTTATTGGGCACCCCCTAACATCCTGTGCAAGGTGAAGCGCAGAAGCGTTTACAGTGCCCAACTGGGAAGCATGGGGAGTTCATGCTTGCCTTTATGGCTCATGCATTAAGGGCGTAAACATTGAAGGGTCATGGGTTTTGTCAGCAAGTTACATAAAGTGACAGAATGATGAGTGTGTGGTGGGGAGAAATTCCCTGTACAATTGTCATGGTCACGTTGACTGCTAGTCTGTTTAACTAATGATTCTTATTAAACTCCACGACCGCAAAACATGAGTGGGTTAGCTACCCCTGAGAAGAAGTGCTTTTCCCCATAGACGCTACACTTGTGTTCCCTCCCAGTGTCCCGCCTTTGTGAAGACGACAGTTGTCGATCAGTTGTTATTCCGCTTTCTCCTGGGAAGCTCAATCTTGAATTAGTCTGTGTATATCAACTCAAGTAATTCGCCAGACCTTTGTCAACTGAGGGTCATCTTTGAATGAGTAACAGTTGAGTTGTTTGTAATCTCTGTCATTTGCAGTGAGTAGCAATCGCTGGCAACTCAGGGGTATATATACCCTGGGATCAGGCAGAGCTTAGCGTCCCCTGACGCTTGCTCCTCCCTTTTCTCCAGGTATGTTTTAGTGTTCCCTGGTCATTCAGTTTGATTCAGTCAATTGTAGTGAATATCAGTGTTCATGCTTCAACAGTTGAATTGTCATTCACCCAGTGTAGGAAGTAATATAACGTAAATATGTCTGTCGTTCCCAGACAAGAGATTTGTTGTGATTGTGTTGTTCATGCGCCCCTGACGTCTCTGCCATTTGCCTCCAGATCCAATTGTGACTCTTGGATCACTCCACAACTGCCCCGGATGTAGTAGCTACTCCAAATTTGATTTGATTTTCATTAATGACCAGTCCCGAGTCGAGACAAAGATACTGCAGCTGATCAATGATCCTAGACATATCTTCCTCATTCTTACATTGGATCAGAATGTCATCAGCATAAATAATTACTTGGGACTCGCCCTGGAATTTGTAACTTGCTATTCTGTCCATAAGAATATTAAAAAGCATAGGGCTAAGAACGCCACCTTGTGGGTACCCAAATCCGAGACTTTTTTTCTTCCGATTCATGACCTTGAAACCAGACACTCGCTTTCCTGTTAGTTAAGTGATCTGTAATCCACATCAATAATATCCCTTTTATACCTTTTACTTACAAGACTTTCTAAGATCACTTTATTTCATCAAAGGCACTTTAAGGTCTACAAACAGTCTACAGTTGACATTAGCATTACTAAGACATTTAATCACACAATCTGTAGTGCTTTTACCCTTTAAAAATCCAAACAAATTACTAAACAAGAGACCATCAATTTATAACAATAATCTATTTAATACCATTCGCTCCATTGATAAAAATTGTGCTAAAGTGAAAACAATTGTGGATCGGTCGTATTTATTTTTGAATAATTGGCTGACATATATCAAACACTAAAACTGTAAGTTGTGGGCTATCCCTCTCAAAAAGTCCAACACACCGCGGTTCTCAAAGTCTTGTACGATGGTTGATATTCTGGCTGTTGAATCAATTCAATTCAATTTAAATATTTATTCCTTGATAGAAGAAGCGGGATCCAAGTGCTGTCACTAGGTACCCCTGTACAATAACACGAGAAGCATCTGGCAAGTGTAAAAGCGTTCGAGGAACAAGGTAGTCATGTGTGGCCTTGTTACAGCCAGTCTTGGCAAGGCCATCTGCTGCCTCATTCCCCAAGAAACCGACATGACTGGATATCCATAGGACTGTCACAGGACGGCCTGCATCCTGAAATGTGGATGTTAACCCTCGTATTCGGAGGATGAGGTCCTTATTTTCCCCTGATCCAAATGCGATCCCGTTGAGAGCAGACCTGGAATTACAGCAGACAAGCAAGGGGCAGATACCATCGGCTTCTTCCTCAGCGAGAAGGGCAGCAAGGGGGGCTATTAGTTCAGCCTGAGTGGAGGATGCCCCGTCAGAAACTCTGAGAGAAAGTTTGATAGGCTCAGGGGCATCAGGACAGGAGATGTAGACACCAGCCCCGGCCCTACCTGTAGCCGGGTCAATAGAGCCATCAGTGTAGAGGCCGACGCTACCTGGGGACCAGTGGGCGATCCTGGAGAGGTGGATGTGCGGAGAATAACCGGGTTTACGTGGGATTTCGGGAGCGGTCCACCGAGGGCAATCACTTCAGGTTGAAAATCCAGCCAGGGAGAAGGAGACGAACCAACAGCAGGGGTGCTGAGGTCGTGTTCCTGAAGGGCTCAGATGAGTGACCCTCGCCACTGTCTTCTAGATGGAGGTCGGCCTCGGACAGCAGGGTCAAGTTGGCTTGACATTGTTGCCCGAGGATCCTGTAGAATGGAAACGGTAGTTTTAGGTAAAACTCCTGGACACGATCCTGTAAGGCGGAAAGACCAAGTTCGGTATATAGAGGAGAGTGTCCACTGAGGAGCCCCAGGATGATACGAGCAGCTTTCCTCTGGATAACTTCTGAGACGGTTGACGGCAGTCCGACTAATGTTGACGAAGGCGGCGTAGTCGACACAGGAACGACAAAGGACTTGTACATGGTGAGAAGAACAGGGATGGTGGCACCAAGGGAACCCCTGCACATGGTAGAGAGGGGAGCGAGACGTCGAAAGCATATGTCTCGAAGATAGCGGACTTCAGGGATCAGACGACGTGTGCGAGTTACATGCACACCCAGGTATTTTGTCTTATTAACCCAGTCCAAGGGCGTTCCTGATAAGAGAAGGGATGGAGGTACAACACGACCGTGCCACATGGCTTTTGTTTTTGTTGTTGAAAGAAGGAAACTAAGTCAATCACATTCTCTGAAGACCAGACCAAGGGCTTCCTGCATGTTGAGGTAGTCAGGGGTTTAGAGGAGGATATCGTCGGCATATTCTGAGTGGACAACTTCTGTCGGCCACGGGAGAGATGCAATGGAGTGCATGAGAGTGTTAAACAAGGTGGGACTCAGAACTCCGCCTTGAGGGGTGCCGAGGTTCATTTCTTGAACAGGAGATACAGAGCCTTCAACGCGAACCCGGGCCTGACGTCCAGTGAGGTAAGAGGTGCAAGCTCAGGTAAAATGAGGGCAGGCTGAGTCGTATCAAAGGCTCCCTTGATATCAAGGCAAACGGAGGCGCGGGCAGTCTGATTGCAATAAAAGGAGCCTAAGACGAGTAGTATCCGATTACACCGTTAGATTCTCAAAGATAGCTGGTCTGACAGTTCCCTGCAGGTTAATTAATTACTTTCGAAATTAACATCCTTACAACAATTTCACGATGAAGATCAGATTCTCTGATGTTCCTTTGTGAAAAAGAGGTGACTTCAGCCTCGGTCAACAATCACTGGCATCTCTAGGGCCGACGTCAACAATACCTCACTCTCACTTCCGACTCTACCCTGACTTATATTGACAATTACCCAAACAGTAAATACAGTTGAAGCTTTCAACATCAGTCACAATGGATCTTGAATGCTTCATCTGCAATCAGACATCTCTAAGTTGACGCAAGGCAAGGGTGTTCTCTTACCAATTCAAATGCATGAACACCCTGTGCGGAATTTAGGTATACTTGTGTTTGTCCAGCAATGTGACATAGAAAACAAAAAACTCAGGTCTCCTGAAGTGGTTAGAGAACGAATGTTTCAACTGGGAGACTCAAAAGGTCCACAGGTTTTGTGGGCGTGGAGCGTAATATGAATTATTAGGTTTTAACAGACTAGCCATGTCATTATGACCATGATATGGGCACCAGCAAACCAACTGCTCGGCGGCCGCCAAGAAATGCGCAGCTTTTGGACACCATTCCTCCGACTGGGAGTGTCCCAAGGGAAGGGAGGAGTGTAGGGTGGCTAAGCTGCGAAGTAATAAAAAAACTGAGCTACAAGGAGGCTCTTCTTGTAGTGAAGACCGGAAAGAAGAATCAAGACCCCAACAAGACCACAGAAAAGAAAAATCAAGACCCCAAGAACACCACAGAAAAAGAAATTGAATTAAACAAGACTGAACAAAACGATTTAGTAACAATAATATCATCACCGTTTTTAGAAGTTTACGAGAATTTACCAGAACAAGACCAAGAAGAAGATTGATAATTGAAAAGTAAAAAGAACAAAAGGAAGAAGTCCGAAGAAAATGACTCAAGAAACTGACAGCTTCGGCCGAAATAGCCTAAAGGCGAAGCACAGTGGATACCCCTCATCTCTTCCCTCATCCCGTTGTAATTTCCCTTGTAATATTTGCACCTTGGCCCTTCGGCCTTATCTTGAACTAGGTAAAAGTTAAATCTGAATGACAACACTATATGGAGACTGGTGCCAACTGGGGCAAAGTTTTTCAGTTTGGCCACCATACCCTCCTGTTTGCTATGATGAAATCTGGTGTCTTGGGTGTTTAGCTCTCCAATGTGCGGGTCTCAACATGTTGGAACAGAAAATTATCTCTCAGAGTTTTACAAAAAAGAGTAGCAGGGTTATTCAAATCATTGGGGTGGACTCGTTTTCCAGTCGATGTCGTCATAGTTAAAGTCCCCATGATAAGGAGGCAAGTGTAGCTAACATCGCCGCGTTGTCTATTAAGGCTCTTAAGTTCCTTTGGTTTAGTGGGCCACAGTTTGGGGATCTGTAGATACACCCAACGATAAGTAAGTCCCCTCCCTTTAATTTAATTTAACACCACTTGGACTCTTCAAAAGCATCCTCTCCCTGTACCCTCG